AGGGAAGCAATCAGAACTCCGGCATAGAGCTGCCCAGCCACAAGAGCTTTGTGGGCGCTGTCTCCCTCATTCTGGTTCCTCCAATGCCCTGGACTCCCAACAGAAGCTCTGTCCAATGCACTGAATGCAGTGTCTTTTACATCTTCTAGAGAGACGAAATCAAAATCTGGGCTTTTTCTGCCACACTGTGGCCATGTCTGAACACTACATGTGGCCCTTCATTCCCTTACATGTGGTATTGAGAGTTGTTTTCATTGAAGATTAGAAGTTACCTTCTTTACCTGTTATCCCCATTCAAGCCCTTAAGCCTCAGCTGATGCTCGCCTCCTCCAGAAGGACTCCCTTGAATTCACCTCCATGCCAGGTTGGCTGAGGCCTCCCCGTTCTGACTCTCCCAGCTCCTCCTACCATTCGCTAGCATTTCCCTCCACATGCTGTATTGTAGCAGTCACTTCTGTCTCCCTGATTAGATTGCGAACTCTTTGAAGACGAACTGACTCATCTGTGTTATCTCCAGGGCTCACAGAAGAACAGAAAATTCTTCAATAAGTATATATGAAATTAAAGAAAAAAGAGAAGAAGAGAGAGGAGGAAGGCTGAAAGCTCATGGTAATAACAACCACCCACATTTATTGAGCGCTTGTGGTATACAGTCCCTGTGCTTCATATAATGCATTCCAGGGTATCAGGGCCAATATCCACCTCTGCTGCTTCAGCTTCATCCAGCAATTGAAGGGTCCATGTCTGTCCTGTCAGGGGCTTCCTGGACTCTAGTCCTTCATATAGTCCATGACCAACAACTGTTCCGATGTTCAGTGACCACTTAACATGTTTTTAAGTATTTTAACATTCACCCTTGCATGTGATCATCCACAACAACTTGGAAATAAGTTCTAATATTGAGAGGAGAAGCCGGCTGGGCTTCTGGGTGGGGTGGGGACTTGGAGAACTTTTCTATCTAAAAGATTGTAAATGCACCAATCAGCACTCAGTAAAAATGGACCAGTCAGCACTCTGTAAAATGGACCAATCAGCTCTCTGTAAAATGGACCAATCAGCAGAATGTGGGTGGGGCCAAATAAGGGAATAAAAGCAGGCCACCCGCGCCAGCAGCTGCAACTTGCTGTTGGGTGGGCTTCCAAACTGTGGCAGATTTGTTCTTTCACTCTTTGCAATACATATTGCGGCTGCTCACTCTGGGTCTACACTACCTTTATGAGCTGTAACAGTCACTGCGAAGGTCTGCAGCTTCACTCCTGAAGCCAGCGAGACCACGAAGCCACAGGGAGGAAAGAACAACTCAGGACGTGCCACCTTTAAGAACTGTAACACTTACTGCTAAGGTCTGCACCTTCACTCCTGAAGTCAGCAAGATTACCAACCCACCAGAAGGAAGAAACTCTGGGCACATTCAAACATTTGAAGGAACAAACTCCGGACACACCATCTTTAAGAACTGTAACACATGAGGGTCCGCAGCTTCATTCTTGAAGTCAGCAAGACCAAGAACCCACCGGAAGGAACCAATTCCGGACACAGTATTGTCCTAGGATCAAGGTGAGGAAAGTGTGGCTTAGAGGGGTTAAGTTACCTGCCCAAAGTGGCACAGAATTCATAATTCTGGAGGCAGAATCCAACACCAGGCTTGACACCAGCGCTTACATACCTAATGGTTTCTGAGGACTCTCCCATAGCATGTAGGAGACCCTTGAAGACATATTCTGGAGGGGTTTGGGGAGTGTGTACATTGGCAGTGGGACAGCTCACAGATGTTTATGATGTTAGGATAAGGAGCATTTAACGGAGCAGAAAGGGGCCTGCTTATGCAGTCTTCATTCAATCAGCGTTTGCTTCTGCACCAGGCACAGTCAACCAGACAGGGCCCATGGGCTCAAGGAGCTGTCTGTCTAATAGGGAGACTGATTGACAGATGCATAAAATAGACATCTCCAGGGAGGAGGGCTTTTAGGGCTTGGTACTGCAGGGCAGCTTCACTGGCATCCCAGAGAGCAGGACTAACAAGGGACCCAGAGCCAGCTGACTTCATCCCAGAAGTCCCCAGTGTCAGGAGCCCCTGCCACAGTGGGTTCCAGGAGCTCCTCACCAAGTTGAGGCCTGGACCTGAGCTGGGGAGGTCAGCTGTTCCCCACACTGCCCTGGTGCCTACCATGCAGTATCCACATGGGGTAACTTCCATGCAGCACCCATGTGAGGTGCCCACCATGAAGTATGCACATGAGGTGCTCCACTGGCTCACCCTGCCCACTGCAGAGCAGGGCAGTGCCCACACCCGGTGGCTCTCACCTTGCAGCTGGCCTTGTGATGGATACCATTCTCAAACCATTTGCTGGTTGGAAGCCGGCGTGCCTGCATTCACACAGCATTCTCAAGTCAAGGTCATTCTCAACTTCTGACTCTCCTGGACACTGTCATTCTCCCAGCATTTGTGAGGGGAAGAGATCTTCTCTGCTTCCTTTGAGTTCCCCTCCCTCCCTCCTCTCTAACCCCCGCTTCTGGGAGAATGACTTCCCCATGTTACTGTATGTGCCCACAGTTGCTAGGCAGATGCTCCAATTGAAGTCAGGTTGATCAGAAGCCACTGCTTGAGCCTGCAATGATGGGGCAGGGGTGGTGACGGGGCCTGGTAGAGCCAGAGTCTCACAGGACTCACTCCACAGCATCCACCACCATAACCAGCCCTTCCCCGTCCCCACTCCCAGATCTACCCCTAGAGGGTCCAGTCATCACAGCAGAGGCTCTGGCCCCCCATCCCCATCGTGCCTGATTCCATGCTAGGCAATGCACACTGTCAAGGCTTTCTATCTGTCTTGTTGGAGGCAAAAATTAGAGAATGTTGCAGTACATCTTCCAGTCTCAAAAAAAAAAAAAAAAATCTATCATCTGAATCCCCCCAGTCTTCCCAAACTGAACTCTTCATTCACACCACACAATGAAGGTCAGTTTCAAGGTGGTAAAGTGAAGTGAGCATCAATCGGACATGCTACATTAAAAATAATTTTTTTTGCCTTCCTAAAAGTCACTTAATCTTTCCCTCTCTAGTATTGACTACAAAAAGACTTAGTAGCTCACGTGCCATCTGACTTTTTCCAGGGCAATGCAATTAACTCAGGAGATTTATTTTTCTCCTTTTTTCCCTATATCAGTCTAACCTAATTGGTTTGCCACTAATTATTCGTTTCCTATACAGATATGTGTTCATCATGTCCTCACTTGTCTCACGCTAATAAGCTTTCAAGAGATACATCATCCTTTCAACCCAGTCATACAGTTGAGAACTTCACACAAGAAATTACCTTCCTTTGTCTGTGAAAGGACTAATTGCCTCCACTCTCATACAAGGGCCCCCCACCTTCCTCTGTCCTGTGGTGAGCCTCGGGAACTTCCATGGGGGAAGGGGCACCCAGCATAGCCCTCACAGTGTGGTTGGGTCACGATTCCAGCTTATTTATTTGCCTGACTACTGCTCAGGAGTTGAAGAAAAAAATGGGATAAAAGCATATTCTTCAACCTCATTGAGCAGCGGGATGAAATATCTATTTTGGAAATAATGATTCCAGGTAGGAGGGCAGTGAGGAATGGGGCTCATGAGAAGCGAGTGTTTTATTACACAATTTCTAAAATATGAGCACTTCATACTCTTTCATTATTGTACATTATTACAGTTCTATAAAAATCATTTCTGGGAAATCAATCTCAACATTTCAAAGCCTTCCAAAAAGTTGGGAGGCAGAGTTTATAAGAAGCCCTGTAAATAGAGAAATTATACTTTCAGCTTTACGTAATAAGATTTACTATGGCACTGTCCACACTCAGACCTAGTCAACACTGCATGAGGAATGCAGTGACTGGGGATTTGTAGAGTTCTTCCCATGCCACAATTTCAAAAGACAGCAACATTTTTCATTGCCCTGGAAAAACATCATACAGCATGTGAGCTACTAAGTCTTTTTGTAGTCAATACTAGAGAGGGAAAGATTAGGTGAGTTTTAGGAAAGCAAAAAAAAAAAAATTATTTTTAATGTAGCAATGTCCAATTTTGAATATTTTCCAAGTGAGAAAACAGAGGCCTAGATAGTGTGAGTGAAATTACTTTTACTGAAAGCCAGTGAGGCAGCAATAAATCTGTTTCTGTTTACAGCTCTACCATTTCTCCACCTGGTGCACAGTGGGTTTGGGGAGCATCTCCACTCCACCCTGATCCGTGTCTAGTATTTCCACTCCCTTTGGAATCTGAGTTTTCATTCCAGGGAGTGCATTAACTTGCTGGATAATTTGCTGATCACACTGGTACAGAAACCATTTAGAGGCTTTAGACTCCTACTCTTTCATAGGGATCAAGACCTGAAGACAAAGCAGTCAAGGGAAGCCCTATGGCCTAACCACAGCCCTAGGAATATCCCCAATGCCTAAGGAAACTCATTCAATCCATCTGAGCTTCAAAATATCACCAAATTGAGGAAGAGCCAGTGGAGTAAGTTCATAAGTCCATGTTGAATGGTGGTGATGCCTTCATAGCTACAAGCATTTCACGTATGTCTCCTCACTTTATCTTAAAACATTCATAAAAAGGATAGTCCACAGCACTTCTCAAACTCTAATGTGAACAGGCATCCCCTGTAGATTTGTTAAAATACAGACTCTGACTCAATAGGTCTGAAGGAATGGTGGGGGGACTGAAGCTCCACATTTCTAAAAAGTCCCCAGGTGATGTCGATTCTGCTGCTCTGAGGACCATACTTGGAATTGCAAAGGCTTAGAGCACAATTTGGAAACCACAGGTCTAAGGACTGAAAAGGCAGTAGCAATGAGTAGTTCACCAGCCTGGGCTCAAGTGGGATATTAACCAGATGATGACATTTCCTACATTACTGTTTTATTAACACCTGATAGGACTGAAGAGCTATACCGCACAGGGGAAAGATCTCTGGAGAACATTTTCTGATGGAGACCAGGAAAGGAGTGAAACAAGATTTACTCACGCGAGAAGCGGGCCAGTGGTCTGGCATTCTTGTCTCCAGCTTCATTTGCAACTGGAAAAAAAAAACATAGGATGCAATTTAAAATAAAGCACATGTGTCCACCAAATATGCCCCAATACAGCCAATCCCCTGTATGCTTTGACATCAGGCTGTATTTAAGAATTTTTGTAAGTGAATAAAAGCAACTTTACTCCCTTTGCTTCTGTATTTCCAAGGCTGCCCTCAACACCTAAACGACATCAAATGTCTCAATCATTTTGATTAGACTATTTGGATGAAGCTAGAGAGGATCTCAACAACATCCAGTTTAGTAGGCCTAAAGAAGTTAATTGGCTTACATCCACTTAGTAAGAGGCATGCGCACCAGATTCCAAGCTAGTGGACATCCTTTGGCTCCAAGAGTCCTCTAACAGGGCTGTCTGTCAACACGCTGATGCACCCCAAGCATCAAAATGAGTCTGGTTTCCTAGGATCCATAGGGGCAAAGCTGAGGCAGGAATTTGGGAAGATAAAAAGCTGGTTTATGTTCAGAAAGATACTAAATTTAGATGCTAACAAACAGGGAAGATCATCAATAAAATTGTTCAGAAAACTGCCCTAGAAACCTTACCCCTAAAGCTTCTCAGCAGGGCAGGCTATCTCCTGCGAAAAGCCTCCATATAATTTATCATTGGATATAGTCATATTTAATGCCCCTTATAACTTATGAACCCATTTTATTGGGTAAAAGAGATGGTTATTAAGAGGAAACAAGTTTCACTCACTTTAAATACCATGTTTCATGCCCATAAACATTATACCTTGGTTGTTATATGTATACATAGCAGACAGATATGGGTATTTGTGATCTACTTGAATAAACACCCAAAGCAATCAATAAGAAACACGTGTTCATTCTAGCTGAGAAAAAGCACTCAATGCATCAGCAGAATAAAGGAGATTGCTAACATCATGAATGTATGAGAAGTTGCAGCAGCAGGACAAAACCAATACAGTAACTACTTTCTAAACTTATTACATGATTTTACAAAGAATGAAAAGTTGAAAAATTTATTCCACCGTCTCACAAAGGTAAGCATTTTAAAATTTACTACATTTGGGCAATTTTTAAAAAATTAATAGATTCCATCTCAGTATCTTTTGTTTTTCTGGCATTAGCTTTGCCTCACCATCTCCACTCTATTACTAACAAGGGCAATTACTAATTTGGGCAATTTATTACTAATTTGGGCAATTTTTAAAAATTAATAGATTCCGTCTTAGTATCTTTTTCTGGCATTAGCTTTGCCTGGTCATCTGCACTATTACTAATAAGATGTTATATAAAAATGACCAGCAGGGGGAGGCAATAATTCATCCAGCTCCCATCGTCTGTCACACGGCAGCATTTCAAAAAAAGAAATGGGCCTGGCGCGGGTGGCTCACGCCTGTAGTTCCTGCACTTTGGGAGGCCAAGGCTGTCGGATCACGAGGTCAGGAGACCAGCCTGCCCAACATGGTGAAACCCCATCTCTACTAAAAATACGAAAAATTAGCCAGGCGTGGTGGTGGGCGCCTGTAATCCCAACTACTCGGGAGGCTGAGGCAAGAGAATCACTTGAACCCAGGAGGTGGAGGTTGCAGTGAGCCGAGATTGTGCCACTGCACTACAGCCTGGGTGACAAAAGTGAAACTCCATCTCAAAAAAAAAAAAAAAAAAAAGAAAGAAAGAAAGAAATGAAATAATTACTACACTCTGTACCAAATACATTTTAACAGATTTCCAATTCAAAAAAAGATCCAGGACTTCTAAGAGCAATAGCTATTCTTGCTGTCTTCTCAAATGTTTTGTAGAACCACCACATGAATATAAATAATTCACATTCATATTCCTGCCTCCATTCAGAGCTACATCCAAAATATTTCAGAACAATGGTCAGCTATCTCGGTAGAAGTCTTTAACCACAACTGCATATCCTCACATCAGGAAAACTTGGATGTTATCATAGCTAAGTATTTTTAAAAATCTTATGAGCACTTGGAAAACTCTCAAGAGTTTTCTATAACCAAAGTTGTCTTATAATAAAAAAAATAAAAGGAAGAAAAGAGAGCGGGGAGGGAGGGATGGAGAAAGAAGGAATGAGCCCGTTAGGTATAGACATGAATTTCCATGACCTTGAGTTCAACTTGTTTCTTCCATTTAGACACTGTAAATGTCTGAAGAAAGAAATAGAGCTGGGTGGGGCATAGTGGCTCACGCCTGTAATCCCGACACTTCGGGAGACTGAGGCAGGAAGAACACTTGAGCTCACGAGTTTGAGACTAGCCTGGGCAACATAGTGAGACCCTGTCTCCACAAAAATAATTTTAAAAACTTAGCTGGGTATGGTGGTGCATGCCTGTAATGCCAGCTACCCAGGAGGCTGCAGTGGAAGGATCACTTGAGCCCAGGAGGTTGAGGCTGCAGTGAGCTGTGATCAAACCACTGCACTCCAGCCTGGGCAACAGAACGAGACCCTATATCAAAAAAAAAAAAATAAAAAAGAAAAGAAAAGAAAAGAAAAGAAAAGAAAAAGAAATAGATCCAGGGTTTTACCAAAATCTTTGCTGCAGAAACTTTAAAATGACATTTTAAAATGGGATTACAAAGACCATTGCAATTGCTGAGAACACAAGCAACCACCTAAATACTCAGCTTAGAGTCTGCGCATTCTCCAAGAGTATGTACATTCCTCCAAGAATAAAAGAACAGAGACACCAATGTCGCTATTTCACGTGCAGCAATAGCCACAGCTTCACTCAGCCGGGCCTTCCCTGCCCACCACCCTATCCAAGGATGGGAATTGCTGACCCAGATCCCAGTCACGCCAGGAAAGGCAAGAATCAGGATCCAGGCCAATGGGACACCAGGAGAGTTTCCTCTATCCAGAAGGAATTTGAACCTCACCACCAGTGTGATTTCCCTACAAACATACCCAATGCCACACTCCACTACTGGAGGGTCTCCCAGCCCCTACAGAACATGATCCAGCTCACCTGCCCCAACTTATTCTCCCACCTCATTTCCCAGAGCATCCTCCAGCACTTAGTCACATGCGCTAGATGGACAATGCACTTCACACACTCTTTCTGCCTGGCTTTGGCTCCTGATGCCCCCTAGTCTTGGTGCACTCCTCCCTCATCTTCACCTGGCCAACTCCTTACTCATCCTTTAAGATCCAGGTGGAGCGATTCACTTCTGAAAAGTCTCATCACCTCACACCCCACCTTCTCCATCTCCCAGATCTTTGCCCATATGTGTAACTCCCCTTCCCACACCTGCCTGTTGTTCTCAAACTTCAGCAGGCATCAGAACCACTGGGTGTGTTTCTTAGAATACAGTTTCTAATTTGATGCATCTGGTGTGAGGCCCAAGAATTTACATGTCTGACAAGCTCCCAGGTGATATGGTGGATGCTGGTCTGGGGACCATAAAAGCTACCCCACCCAAGGCAAGGATCATCACTTTCTATCATTGTATTTCCATTCTTTTGTACAGTGACTACGAATTCAGTCAATATTTTTGGAATTCAAGTAGACTGAATGCCACAAATGGCTTAGTAGACCAGACATCTCAGACTGCCTTCCAGATGACTATAGAAAGTCCCAGGTCTGTTTTGTTTGGTCTCACAGTGCTTTTAATTTTTAAACAATTGTCAGCCCACATTTAAAACCAAGAGATTTCAAATAGAAATACATAGTACTGGCTTCCTTCAAATAACTGGGGTGATTGGAATACAAGGCCCCCATCCCACATGACAGCCATGGTTCACCACTGAGATGCCCCCTCGGGTGGCTCTGCCTCCTGGATGTTCAGAATGCAACTCTATACTGACTGTTGTTGGACTATACACTCCGCATGGTCTAGAAGGTAGGTGAAAACAGAACCTCTTAAAGAGCTTAAAGAATGAAACTAAACCTCAACAGATGCTAGCACCACAAAAGTGCTGTAGCCCAGCTCACCAAGCCCTTCTGTCCCCAGTGCAGAACTGCCCAGATGCATCCACCAGCACGCTGCAGGCCTGCTCAGACACACCCAGCCTTCTCCACTGGCACAGGAGCCCTCAAACACTGCTGCTTGCCTTGCATGTTTAAAGGTATACAGCAAGCTTTCACGATAAAGTAGATGTTCCGTTTATCAGGTGCAATTAGAGCTTAAATGTGGTGAGATCTTATAAGAATGATTATGTAGGTTTATGGAAAGTTATCTATGCCACACTGCTCACAAAATACAGATTCCAGTTCAGAATGCATAATGATTCTGTCAACGTTCAGTTGAGTGTCTAGGCTACATGTGTATATAGGCACAGAAGGATGAGTAGAAGTGTGGTCACCAGATATATTAACAGTTAATTCTCCTGTGTGGTGGCATTTGAGAAAATCTGTAACTTTTGAAATACTTTTCTGCATAAACTCAATAGTTTATGATAACCATGTGTTTATAATCAGGAAAAAATGTTTTTATTAGAGGGTATCAGACAATTGGTTATTGCTCTGTTTCAAAATCCATATATTATTTTGGATATGTGTGTATATATATGTACATGTGTATGTATATGTGTGTATGTAAAGGACTTTTTATACATACACATGTATAAATGTTTGTACTTTTATACATACATGTGAACATATATACACATTTTATATACATGTATGTATGTAAAAAAACATACATATATATAAGATGTGTTTTAGATTCTGATTTAAGAGTAGTCCTGGATCACAGAATCCAAGGCACCTGCCATCTCTAGTCCAAGAGGGCTCCTTGTAGTACTCAAGAAATGCATCTCTTACTCCTCGCTACAGGGATCCCACACATTTTAGGTCAGTGGTTTTCAGCCCTGGACACACATGAGAATCACCTAGGGAATGTTACAAAATATTGATGCCCAGACCAAAATATTGATGTTGAGAACAACAGCGCCTCTAGGGGTAGGACTCAAGCATCAGGGTTTTTTAAGGCCCTGATCCCAATGAGCAGCCGAGTTTGGGAAGCACTAATAAATGGTGCAACTCCATACGTCCTTACCAAA